GACGTCTCCAGGCTGCTCCTGGAGTTCGAGCCCTTGCCGTCCGGAGGGAACGAGACCCTGGTGCTGCTGAACCGCAGCCAGACGCCGGACCCGCGCTACCGCGCGCGCGTCTCCATGGGCAGCCGGCACTGGAGTCTGCACGCCGTGACGGTCGGAGACCAGGGGGTCTACATCGTGCGCGACTGGGAGGGCAGAGAGCTGGACAGGGTGTGTCTGGTGCTGAGAGGTGAGACCAGACCACCGTCAGCGTTGCCTTCGCTATCATCGCCGTCACTGTCACTCATCATCATCACTGCCACTATCATCACTGCCACTATCATCACCGTCATCATCACTGACTATCATCACTGCCACTATCATCATCATCATTATCACTGTCACTATCACCTTCATCACTATCATCGCTGTCACTGTCACTCATCTCCATCACTGTCACTATTTCTCATCTTCATCACCGTCATCATCACTGTCACTATCATCACTGCCACTATCATCATCATCATTATCAATGTCACTATCACCTTCATCACTATCATCGCCGTCACTGTCACTCACCTCCATCACTGTCACTATCATCTCCATCACTATCATCACTGTCATCATCACTGACTATCATCACTGCCACTATCATCATCATCACTGTCACTATCATCTTCATCACTATCATCACCGTCACTATTTCTCATCATCATCACCGTCGTCATCACTGACTATCATCATCATCACCGTCACAATCATCATCAATGTCACTATCATCTTCATCACTATCATCGCCGTCACTATCTCTCATCATCATCACCGTCATCATCACTGACCATCATCACTGCCACTATCATCATCATCACCGTCACAATCATCATTATCAATGTCACTATCACCTTCATCACTATCATCACCGTCACTATTTCTCATCATCACCGTCATCATCACTGTCACTATCATCACTGCCACTATCATCATCATCACCGTCACAATCATCATTATCAATGTCACTATCAATTTCATCACTATCATCACCGTCACTGTCACTCATCATCACCGTCATCATCACCGTCACTATCATTCATCTTCATCACCATCATCATTACTATCATCATCATCATCACCGTCATAATCATCGTCACTAAAATCTTCATCACTATCATCACCGTCACTATCTCTCATCATCATCACTGTCACTAACATCTTCATCACTAGCAACATCATCACTGTCACTATCATCATCATCATCACCAAATCTATCACAATCATCATCAGTCACTATCATCTTCATCACTATTTCTCATCGTCATCATCATCGTCACTGTCATGATCATCACTATTACTCATCATCACTATCAGTCACTATCATCACCAACACTCACTCATCATCATCACTGTCACTTTCAATAATCATCATTATTAGTCAACATATCCCTATCAGTCACGGTCACTGTCATCATCATCATCACTGTGACTATTAGTCATCATCACTGGCTCCATCATCATCACAATTTATTATTGTTATTGTGTGCATCATCATCGCCACTGCCATCACCGTCATCATAAAACACCAGAACCAGGCCCGACTCGCTCCATATTTCCGAGCGAGGGCGGGGACGACGCGATCATGCCGGTCATTGACTCGTCTAGGAGAATCATTCCGTCGCATTTCACAAAAAAAAACAGCCACCCTTCCCTCCAGCCTCTGGGAGCCCTTCGGGGACGGTAGAGTCCATGAACGTCCCCTCGTCATCGAGGACAGCTGTCCGCGCACACCGCCGTAGCGGTGCCCAGAGGCTGACGTGACTGGGCAGCTGTCCCTCAGCCCGTAGAAAAACCTCCAGCCAAACCTGGTTATACTGACCTTTGACCTTTACCCTTTTCCCTTCAACCCCGTAACGTTCTGCCGTGCCTCTCCGTCCCCGGTCCAGAGCCCACCCGCTACGCCGACCTGCCCTGGGGGGGCACCCTGAAGATGGACCTGGCGCCGGGGGGCGCGGCCGCCAGCCTGCTCTTCACCCCCGACGGCGAGCGGGCCGCCCGCGTGCTGGTGCGCGACGGGGAGGTGGCCGACCTGCGCTACGGCCGGCGCCTCCTGCTGGAGGGAGGGCTGTGGGCCCTGCGGGAGCTAAAGCCGGCCGACGGCGGGCTCTACCAGATCGCCGACCCGCAGGGCCGGGCCGTCGCCAGCATCTACGCCAGGGTGCAAGGTCAGGCCCGATCCCCTTGCGCCGGGCTCCTGGTTCTGGGTCCGAGGGCGGCTACAAGCCCCGCCGACTGCGCACGCGCACACGGGGAGAGGAGGGGAAGGGCGGGCAGAGGCCTCCCTCACCGACAGCACTTCCTGCCTGCGGGCCAATAGGGGGCACTGCACAGACACGAGAGAGAGCCCTGGCCCGGCTCATCCCACCCTGAGGTTGAGTGTGTCTTCAATGAGGCCTCCCCCTGGCCAATGGGCTGTCATTAAGCTTGATTGACTCTTGCTTGAGCCAATGGGCTGTCATTAAGCTTGATTGACTCTTCCTTGACCCAGTGGGCTGTCATTAAGCTTGATTGACTCTTCCTTGAGCCAATGGACTGTCATTAAGCTTGATTGACTCTTCCTTGAGCCAGTGGGGTGTCATTAAGCTTGATTGACTCTTCCTTGAGCCAATGGGCTGTCATTAAGCCGGCCACAAGGGGGCGCTGTGCCACTGAGAGAGAGAGCGAGCGCCCTGGCCCGGCTGAACCACATGGCTCAGTCTTTTTATTTAATACCCCCACCCCGAGCTGCACCTACCCCGTGCCTCTCTCCTGTCTCTCTCTCCTCTCTGACCCCTTTGTCTCTCTCTCTCCTCTGTCCTCTCTCCTCTCTGACCCTTGTGTGTCTCTCTCCTGTCTCTCTCTCTGACCCCTGTGTCTCTCTCTCTCCTCTGTCCTCTCTCCTCTCTGACCCCTGTGTCTCTTTCTCTCCTCTGTCCTCTCTCCTCTCTGACCCCTTTGTCTCTCTCTCTCCTCTGTCCTCTCTCCTCTCTGACCCTTGTGTGTCTCTCTCCTGTCTCTCTCTCCTCTCTGACCCCTGTGACTCTCTCTCCTGTCTCTCTCTCTGACCCCTGTGTCTCTCTCTCTCCTCTGTCCTCTCTCCTCTCTGACCCATGTGTCTATCTCTCTCCTCTGTCCTCTCTCCTCTCTGACGCCTGTCTCTCTCTCTCCTCTCTGACCCTTGTGTCTCTCTCTCCTCTCTCCTCTGTCAATTCAGTTAAAGTTCAGTTAAATGTCAATTAAAGTCTTATTCTCTATCGGCTGGGCAGGCAGTCCAATGTAATTGCAGTCCAGTGTATGTGCACTTAGAAACATGTTTTATTGTATTTGGGTTTTCTGAGGGTGATGATCGCTGGTTTCGCCTGTAAAACTGGAACTCCTATGAGCTTCTCCCATTCCAACCAGTAGGTCTTGGCCAAGCTGGTCCAAACCTCAGAGACAGGTTTCTGACCTCTGTCACATTGCCACAAGGTTTAGAAAGGACAGTTTTGAGTGAGTCTTCCTTGAGCCCTCCCCCTGGCCAATGGGCTTTCATTAAGGACGAGTGACTCTTCCTTGAGCCAATGGGCTGTGAGCAGCTGTCTATCCTTCCTGGCCGCTCTGACGTTTCCTCTCCTGCCCCGCTCCCCTCTCGCCAGCCTATAAGCTCCCTCCTCTGTACGTGGCCATCCTGTCGCTGCTGGGGGTGGTGGCCTTGCTGCTCTGCGTGTGCCTGGTGTCCTGCCTCTTCAGGATCCGCCGCAGGGAGCTGAAGGCCAAGGCCATCGCCAGGATCGCCCAGGAGGCCGGCAAGGGCGACGGAGAGGCGTTCCGCCAGGTGAGGGCCGACCCCTGACCCCCGACCCCTGACCCCTGACCCCCGACCCCCAAGCTCTGGCTGACGCGTGTGCGCTCTGCGGTCGCCCCAGGTCGTCCAGGAGGTGTACACCCGGTTCTC